CGGCAAGGCGGGCTGCACAATGAAAGCAAAAGGCATCCATCCCAAACAAAATAAAACGGCTTCAGAAAGTGAAGTTGCTTTTTTAACCAGATGCTTAGAGGCTGAAAGACATTCCCCGTTGCAAAGAAAAGGGTGAGAGCAGAGCAGGCTGGCAGCTTTCCAAGCGGTGGACAATATTGACTCTAGAATAAAATGGGTTTTGCTTAGTGCTCGCCCCAGGGCACTGGCCCCCCTGTTTTGGATTAATCACACGGGTGGGAGATTCCCTGGCACGGGCGGACCCTCAGGGTGGCTGACCGTGTGCCACCGTGTCCCAGCACCAGACACACGGACACGGAGCTGGCGGGGGCCCCGCCATGGGAGCGCTCACGGGCAGCGCCCAGGTCCCCCACTCGCTGCCGTTCGAGGCTTCAGCCCACGAGGTGCCACGGATGCCACACCAGCTCGGGCCATTGCTGACAGGATGTGGCTCAACCCTGTGCAATCTCGCAGGGCAAAGGAAGCCGCCAACAAATCGGGTCAAAAAAAATACCGATTTGTCATCATCTAGGGCTCTTTTGCCACCCTAAAATCAGTCAAAAAGCTAAAGCTGTGATCTGGAAACATGCCTTTGAAGGACTTCGATGTGAGCAGCACAAAGGCCACTGTTTGCATTCCAAGGAGGACCAAAAAATGAACTTCGAAACCACTGAAGCTGGTGCTGGTTAGTAGTGCCTTCTGGATGGTTTTGTTAAGAGCAGCACCTTACGGCTCCTCCAGCCCTGTGTGAGGCTGAGAGGGGAACCATGGAAGGAGCCATTGTGCCACTGAGGGACACAGTTAGCCAGAAAAACAGATTTTGGGAAGGTATCTAGGATATAGAGTCCAAGTATTTCAACAATTGTTCACATTGGAAAACCTGAACAACTAGGACTTTACTTTTAAATAAAAGGCAGAGAGAGCGAATACTAATTCTGTGCACTACTTTAAAGGAGCAGCAATCATCAGATCTGTCTTTTCTCTCCCTCAATATTTTTCTGCCTCAGGCTACCTGCACCCCTTTTTAGCGCTGGCACCACTTTGCTTACGCTGACATCGAGTCTTCCCCAATGCTTCTGTTGCCAGGACTTGTCCAAGTCAGCAGAACTACCCTCTCTCCAATACAAGTTTAACTTCTGCAAGCCGTGGGCCTGAAAACCCCAGCCCCAGCTGTGAAAGCCTGTCAGTAACACAGACGTCTGCCAGCAAATTACGGCTCCACCCAGCG